CTCTGGAACGAACTACCCCCCGAGATCCGGATGATTCCGGATCTCCTTACTTTCCGCCGCGCCCTCAAGACATGGCTTTTCCAGCAAGCGGGCCTGACCTAGGGAGGATTTTACTTAGGGATGTTTTTAAGTATAATTTTAATTGGAATACAGCTTCTAATATTTGGTTTTTAATTTGGTTTTATAGGGGTTTTTATTTTTGTATTTTACATTTGTATCTGTTTTAATATGCTGTGCACCGCCCTGAGTCCTGCGGGAGAAGGGCGGTATATAAATTAAATTATTATTATTATTATTATTATTATTATTATTATTATAACTGAAAAAAAGCAAAGAATGGGGGGAAAAAGGCAGAGTTCTGTTTGGTTTAGTGAATTGTGGTTGTTTTTTTAAATTACAGATGATAGATACTCTGAGGGCTTCTCCTGTAAGGACAAAAAGAACCACAAAAAGGATTTTCATTTACTTCTCTTAGAACCCCCCCTTCTTTAATTATATGGGCTGGGAACTCTGGAAACTCTAATCAGATCATATTCAGGAAACAGGAAATTTGCAGAACTCATACCAAGAAACCAGTGCAGCCAAAAATTATCCTTCCTGACAAATGAGGTCAATATTTAAAGAAAGGATCATTAATATTGTATTGGGGACATCATGCTTCTAACTCTCAGAGTATATTTTATAGTAGAGATAGAATGTGAATGGGGCTCTGCAAAAGAGGTACAGGGTGCTTCCATACTTGACTGTTTCTTGTTTCCTTGGCAAAGGTGTATTGATACTATCGAACATTAGCCTGGCCCCTCCACATCATCTAGCCATTACTGGCATAAGGCCACATACTTCTTTCTCAAAAGCTATTACAGATTGATAGAGATCTGCAAAAGTAATCTCTCATTAAAGGTGGGAAATACATAAATTAGGATCAAGAGAGTCAAAAACAAGAGAGGAATTAGTAAACTTGTCTTACTTGTGGTGAATGAAGTTCAGTTTCTGATCCAGACAATGTGTTATCAGAAACTAAGGAAGTGTTTGATCCATGCAAGGTCATGGGAGAAGAAGCACTCTGACAATAAAAGTTGACACAACACCATTAAAGGAGATCTTTAAAAGTATAATTTGAAATACATTATGAAATTTGCTTCATCATTAAATGTTCACTTAGACATAATAATAATAATAATAATAATAATAATAATAATAATAATAATAATAATAATAATAATAATAATAATAATAATAATAAAGTTGGAAGGGACCTTGGAGGTCATCGAGTCCAACCCCCTGCCCAGGCAGGAACCCTACACCATTTCAGACAAACGGCTGTCCAGTCTCTTCTTAAAAACTTCCAGTGTTGGAGCATTCACCACTTCTGGAGGCAGGTTGTTCCATTGGTTAATTGTTCTAACTGTCAGGAAGTTTCTCCTTAGTTCTAAGTTGCTTCTCTCCTTGATCAGTTTCCACCCGTTGCTTCTTGTCCTGCCATTATTCTATGGATTTTTTTAAAAAATAAATAAATGTTGTAAGCCACCTGGAATCACCTATGTGTGAGTTGGGTGGCTATATAAATTTGTCTAATAATAATAATAAATCAACATCTGACCATCCCAGGTCCTTGGGAAGGACTTGATAGCTGAATAAAAATGCCAATTCCAGTTTGAACATCTGGTTGACTGCAATGAACCATAATAGTAATGATAACTGAAGATCTTGGGTTTCAGCATAGGTTTATATTTTATCACAGTGAGAAGGCTAGACAAGGATAAACTTGGCTGCCTGTTGAACATTGTTATGCAAGCCATCCTTTCTTCCTCTGTCAATGTTATCCTCAATTATGTATAAGATGGTGGATAACTGAAGGCAAGTTTTTTGGAAAGAATGACTTTTGCTCTGCCTAATCATGGAAAACATTCCATCACTGATAACTAAATTAAATGAACAAAGAATTAAAAAATGTCTAATTGTCCATCTTCCCAATGGAATGCTGGAGGCCTAATTTAGTTTCTCCCTGGTGTGCTATATTATAAATAGAATTAAACAGGAAAAGGTGTTTTGGGGGGGAAAATCTGAATTCCATTTATTCAGGCCTCTTTTGGAATCAGACTAGTTTAGACGACTAGACATTTTTCACAGTAGGACAAACCCTAATCCTAATCTGAGAAAATACAGATAGTCCTCGACGTACAACCACAATTGAATCCAAAATTTCTAAGTGAGACATTTTTTAAGCGAGGACACATTTAGTTCAGTATAGTGTTCTGATAGCCATTATACTGAAGCCCACAAATAAAACATGAGGGAATGTAATCTTTCTACTCATGTTCTCCCAACAACTGGGAGTCAGGCATACTGATAGTACAGATAATATAAGGAGACTTTGGTAGTGACTAGATGCCCAGCTATGCAGATGGGTAGATACAAATCCCTGTATCTGAAGTTTGGTCTAGGGAGAAGCTGGAGGTACCAGTTGTTATACAGCTAGTCCTCAACTTATGACCACAATCAAGCCCAAAATTTCTATTGCTAAGCAAGACAGTTGTTGCTAAGCAAGACAGTTGTTAAGAGAGTTTTGCTCCATTTTACAATCTTTTGTTGCCATAGTTTATAAGTGAATCACTTCAGTTATTAAGTTAGTAACAACGTGAATCTGGCTTCCCCGTTGACTTTGCTTGTCAGAAGGTTGCAAAAGGGGATCACGTGACCGCGGGACACTGCAACTGTCCTAAGTATGAGTCAGCTGCCAAGTGTCTGAATTTTGATCATGTGACCCTGGGGATGCTGCAATGGTCGTAAGTGTGAAAAATGGTCATAAGTCACTTTTTTCAGTGCCGCTGTAACTCTGAATGGTCAACTAAACAAACTGCTGTAAGTTGAGGACTACCTGTAGCAAGGATCCAGATAAAGCAAGTTTTTTCCCCCTAATGTCCTTCAAGGGAGTATTACTTTTTCCTGACATAGAAGAGTAATTTTAGCCCTGGCACACAACGGAGAAGTAGAAATAAATCTTGAATCAAATAAACTATATAATAATATATTTAAAAGTTGACATCTTTCTTCACAAATGACAACTTTCAATTTTACCTGCACTGATTGTTCAGAGAAGTCATTTTGGTTTGAAAGTTGTTCATTAGAAGCTAAAAAATAAGAATATGGTTATAACTATTTCAAATAAATTAAGAAAGCATTCAGTTGGATAATCCTGTATTAGGTAATACAGTATTACCATTTTTAGATTTAAAAGGCTGACAGCTATATTTATATTTAACATGATTGATTTGCATCTCAATAGCTAGTCGGGACAAGGATGGAGTTTTAAAGTCTTTTAATTTCAAATAAAAATTAGAGATAACTCTAGTATTTTTTTACACACATTATTTCTTCAATATGTTGATATAATTTAAATACAGCTTTGATACATTCTTCATTTCAATTAATGTTGAAATAGAAATTTTGGACAAAAATTCAAAACTAAGTTTTCATACAAACTCTTTTTATTCACCAAAAGTCAGTTAGTCAAATAAAATATCTTTCTTTGCCATAAAAATAATCAAATATTTAAAATTAGAATATAAATACTAAGCATCTCTTTTATGTTATTTCTTATTTTATTTTATTGTTTTACCTCCTTATATATTTTTTATTTATTTAAATGTATTAAATAGAATTACCAGAAGAATCAACAGAAGAGGCTTGTGATGAACAGCCAGCACTTTGTGAAGGTTTATCAAAATCCAGAAGTGATTCCTTAAAGACAAGTGTTACTCTTTTGAATATACATGTGTGTATTTATATATTTATATACACAACTAAAAGACCCAAGCAGCAAAATACAAATATAATCTAAAAGTGTAGCATTAGTTTAACAAAATAAATGGATAAATATTACATAAAACATTTAAGATTAATTAATGTCTATTGCACACATTGTTTTTATGCCCATAAAGCTGACTACTGCCACTATAATTTTAGGATCCCAATTTATAAGCAAAATTTTTAACATACTGAGGTATTTCTCCCTGCTCTTGACTTTAAAATAGGCCAGATAACATCCTGCCAAAAATTCACAATGCAAAAAAATATACGGTAATCCATCTTTTCAAGGTCATTGACATTGCAGGGCCAATCTCTTTTTGAGAGATGGAAAATTTCACAATCTACCTTTTTGTACATTTGATGTATTCACAGATAGATATGGCCTCAAAGGTTTATTACTAAAGTCATTCTTCCCTTATATTCCTCTCTTTCCAGGTTCATCATCAATTCCCAGTAGTTCCAATGCTATTATATTAACCAATAAATCTACCTGCATGAAGTTATAAGTCCCCTGAATTTGAGTTATCAAATCTTGCAATTTTTCCCTTCTGAGTACTGGATCCTTTGGAAGGCTAGAAGTAGAGCAAAACTCGGCAGCTGTTTGGTGCACAGGCTTAGCTACCTAATACGACAGAAAAAGGCAAGCAGGGAGGAAGAGCATATAATTGCACAGAGCACTCTGCTCTTTTCAGATTGCTGAAATCAGACTTTCTAAACTCTTTGCCATTACATTCCCCTTTAGTGTAATCTAAACCATCCTAAAAATCCAAACAAGCAAATCTGAGCCATTTTATCTGTTAGATACCTAGGACTGCCCTCACAATGACTCAGTCCTTAGGCCCGTGATGGCGAACCTATGGCACACGTGCCACAGGTGGCACTCAGAGCCCTCTCTGTGGGCACGCGCACCATTGCCCCAGTCCTAGGCCTTCAGCTGGGTTTTATAAAACCTTTTCGCTTTAGGCCTCTGCCGCTGTGTGCAAAAAAAAAAAGGTTCAATCAATCAATCAATTTCAACTTCTTGCGGGGGAAAAAAAGATCTCGCAAAGTTGGAATTGATTGATTGAACTTTTTAGTCCCACCCAGTCTGCTGTTACCACCACAGTCACGCCCACCCAATGGGCCAGGCTCACCCAATTGGCCACACCCACCCAATGGGCCACGCCCACCTGGCACCCGACAATACATAAGTGGGCTTTGGGTTGCAGTTTGGGCATTCGGTCTCTAAAAGGTTCGCCATCACTGCCTTAGGCTCTTCCTTATCTAGGAGGAAGCTGATCACCCAAAAAGGGGCCACTGGCCAGCTACCATAGATGCAATGAGTGTAGAAAAGCAAAACCATCTTACTCTACAAGTCAAGTCAAGTCCTAATATAGGCTATCACTGAGTTCACACAATTAATATAGGCTATTACCAGAGTTCATACAGTAATAATCAAAGCAAAACAAACCAGATTAAGGCTCAGCATAATATATGAAGCTAACCACTGTTTACTTTTTTAAAATGAGTTTTTAAAAGTTCTTCAGTGTCTGTCTACATGAGCTCATATCTCAAAATTCTCAAGAACTAGGAATAATATGCATAACTAAAGTTGTTTCAGAAGCAATACGTTAATTGATACAACAATTTTTATCTACTCAACTACTTGAACCTGAAGTATATAATTATTTAAAGGCTTTGACCCTCCTGACCTTCCGGAAGAGCCTAAAGACCTGGCTCTGCCAGTTAGTTTGAGGCTCCAATGTGGGGAGTATCACCGTAGAGTTGGTTCTCTTTCTATGACACTGGTTACTTTCTTAAAAAGGCTAAAGCAAAATTTGATATTTTATGCAGAAATATAGCATATACTCATAGAAATATTTCAAAATATTGTAATAATCTGGATAGCACACCTGCATGATGTTTTGGATATTCCTTGGTAATTTACATGATTCTCCAACTGACTGAAAGCTCCCTTTTTTCTTTGATGCATCAATGCTGTGTTCATTTACTCCACCCGTCTTTCCATTCTATGGAAGCCAATAAAATAAAATAATTTATTAGAACCCAATTCGGCAACAAATTTTGAAAGCCAAGATTTCCTTCTGCTAAAAACTGATGCATGTCAAGTGCTTGTATTATTTTGTGAACCTCAATATTTTTGTTTTTACATAGGATGCCCAGGCATCGTTTTATTTCGACATAACAATGTTATGGACACCGTGCAAGATTAGTTTACTTTTACAAACTCCATCACCATATATTTTTACTTTACCCACTTTTTTCACATCTGATTCAAGCTTTGATCTGCATTCTTGTCTCTAAATTTAAAAGCATGCAAAAATATTTGACCAAACGTATAAAGGTAGTTCTCGAGTTACAAATGTAATGGAGCCTGCCCATTCCATTCGTAACTCGAGGATTCGGAGTGAATCTCATATTCGCCCACGCATTCACTAATTTAATGTATGGGCTAATGTGCGGCTCGTTAAGTGAACATCTAGTATCTCAGGGTGGGGAAGGCCATTGAGGGTCTAGTTATGGAACAACCCATCTTCAGATCACCCAATGCCTCCCAACCCACTGAAATACCTCATGTTCCCTCCCCTGGGAGCTCACAATTGCCCTGGGGGTCTAGGGAGCCCCACTGAAGCGTCCCTCACTGCAGTCGTACGTAAGGGTGAACAACTACCATGGTGTGGCAACATTCATAATTTCAGGACTTTTTCATAAACACTAGGGGGCGCTTATCATGTAACTTTGTTCGCTAAGGGAACGCTCATAACTCAGGGATTACCTCTAACAGAGTAAAAATTCTAATTTCAACACATATCAACAGATACAAAATTAGCTTATTTTGATTTTGCTGTTACATTTAAAATAAAAATAGTATTCAAGGCAGCTTGAATTAGTATTAGGGTTATTGGAAGATTAATATAGTATGAAATGTCAAGGTTCCTTCTTTTTAGCTAGAATCTACATAGAAAAACCACTGAATTATCAATAGTATATTGATCATTAATCAATTGATACTGATAATAGTTGCAGAAGCAATTACTTTTCAGTAAGCAAAATAATATGAGCAAAGCGCACTAATTTGGATGCTCTCATTTATACCAACTCACTTCTTTCAGTTCCACATCAAGCTTCTTTAGCTCAGTCTGCTCCTTTGGCACAAGATTCCCAACTCCCCAGATCTTAGGAGCATTCTGTAATGGCTGCTGGGCCACTTGCTGTGATCTCTCAGAAGTTTCCCAAACTTTTGGAGGCTGAGATTTTTGGTCATCCTCTTCTCTTATATGCCCCACCCATGGCTTTTCAGGCTGCTGTTTCTTTTGTTCCATCTCCTCTCGGACACGTGCATCCCAAGGCTTCATGGGTTCTGTTTTTTTCAAAGTTTCCCTATTAGTTTGAGACACCCATATTTTTGGCTTTTCCTGGTTTTGTTCCAATCCTCCTTTAGTTTTAGTTATCCAAGTCTTGGGACCTTCTTGCTTTGGTTCCTGCTCTTCTTTCGCTTTTGTTACCCAGGGTTTGGAAGAGGCCTGCTCTTCCCTAACGGGGGCCACCCAAGACTTTGGAGCGTCCTGCTTATGACCATCAACTTCTTGAAGAGGAGATTCCCATGGCTGCGAAAGTTCCAGCTTCTTCTTCCCTTCCTGGTTTACAGATTCTAATGATTTCATGGATTCTGTATTTTGCCTTTTCTGTTTCTCATCCTCAACATCAACCAGCATTTCCCAGGATTTGGGGGGATCACTTTTTGCAGCATGTTCTATTTCCCAGTGTTTGGATCCTTCAGGCTTGACAGCATAGTCTGCTTCTGGCAAATAGCGCCTATTAAGAAACTATGTAGAATAGACCAAAATAAAAACATAACACTTCAGTAGAAAAGCATAAAATTTAGCATAATCTCAATATGCACAGTAGTTGTCATCAGAGAGGCCAATAAACGTCAACCAAAATTGCTAAAGCAACAAGTAAAGATGACAGAATCTCTAGTTTATGAATTACAATAAGGGCATGTCTTTGGGCCAATGAGGACATTTCCAAATTTTAGAGCACATCATGGTACTGGTATAAAACGGCAGTCATTGCAGGAACACATAATGACTTATTCATCCCAAAGTGGATACTGTATATCCAGTCAAAACATATCCACTTACCAGGAGACAAACTGAAGAGGCTGCTGTCAATCACCTAAACTTCTCCCCCCCCTCCTCCAAAATATACTGCCTTCTCCTTTTGCATTTGGGGGAACAGTAAGCAAAGCAACACACTGTAGTAACACATACATTTTTCCAAAAATGTCTATAAAGATGTTAAAAACTAACACTTCGCAGTAAATTGGCTTCCCCTTTAATTTTTTAAATTAAAAAATATATAATAAAGGGAGGTGGCAGGAAGCTATCAAGGGAGGTGTCTGAAAACATTGGTAACTATGGAAACAGTATCCTTTCCAGTCCAAAATTAAGCTGTTCTAATTCTAGCATGTATAGAAACCCACCTAAGAACCAGCTGTTTTGGGTTCAGCAGAAGATAAAAATCTAATAAATCTACAGATTAACAATTTGCCTCTTAAGCAAACCATCTACTTGCAAGTCATTGGTATCTAAAACTGCCATAATCCTGCAGTGTCTCAATCCCATATAAGATAGTATTATTAGGACTACTCACAATAAATTGTTATAACAAATTGCAGTGGAAGAAATGAACTAAGCAGCGTATATAGACAAGTGAAGAATGCATTACTAAATGTATGTATTTTGGTACAGCGTCAGATAGATGTTCATCTTATTCTTAGAAACTACACTGAGGTTATTATTTAACATTATGCATATGATAGTGTATAACACACATTTTACAAATAGTATTGGGACAGTTTTGCTTTTATATTTTTTTGTTTAAATATATCAGGTTTTGAATAGGAAAATGGCAATCAACTGGACAACTGTTTAGCAACTAAAAGGAGAAGCAAGTATCAAAGTATCAAATCATGTAACAATAGACCTAAATCAGATGTTCTTAATCATATTTCCCCAATCTAGTTTGGGACAATTCTTTCAAGGAAAAAATGTTATGTGGGACTTCACCTTTCTGTACTCTAGTATTTCAATCCCCTCATATAATTATTTGTCCCTACCACTTCCCCAAAGCCCACCTCTGATATAACCTCCCAAATGATAAAGAGGAAGTATCCATATAGACCCAAGGAGTGGCCCATCTGCAAAAGGAAAAATATATAGCAAGTATGCCCTTAGTATATTTGTTCAGCCCTTCAGCTGTTCCTTATTAAAAATCTAAAATTAATGGTATAAGGAAATGGAGGTTCAGAAAATGCCTGGTCTCCAATTTGTGAGCCAAAGTCAGCCTGCCAGGCCAAGTCATGCAGACTTCAAATGTTCGTATCTTGCAACTGGTCTAACCCTTTGCCTTTTTCGCTGGCAAGGGTGACAGATGAAACTGGAAGGAGGGGAAATAAATAACACCTTACTTCAAGAATTTCCCAACTCTCTGAAACAGTGCCTACCTTAGACTGTGTTTATTAGTGAATGGGATTTTAACTCCATCATCATGATTTGCTTCATGAGAAGTGGCCCACTAACAAGCTTGTTTTTCAGACTGGCTTGTTTCCCACCCCACCATAATTGCATCTCTAACAAATTGCTAAATTTAAATATCTGCTCAGAGTCGATGCCTTCATAAATTAAGCTCAGACTTACATTCCTATTTTTGGCAATTTAGATTCCCTCTTCCGCATAAAGTTAAAGGAACTGATCAATGTTTTAAAAACACTCAAGGAAACATATGAAAGAAATAAAACATGTTTCCTTTATAACATCTTTATTTATTTGTATCCTGCCTTTATTATTTTTACAAATAACTCAAAATGGCGAACATATCCAGCATACTTGCCTCCAGAAGTTGTGAATGCTCCGACACTGGAAGTTTTTAAGAAGAGATTGGACAACCATTTGTCTGAAATGGTATAGGGTTTTCTGCCTAAGCAGGGGGTTGGACTAGAACAGGGGTCCCCACCTTTTGGGCACCAGGGACCGGTTCCATGGAGAGAGGTTTTTCCGTGGACCGGAGGATGTGTGGTTTTGTGTGCTGCCTGCATCTCGCGGATGGGGCTGCTTGTTTGTGTGGACTGGTTGCTGGCATGCCGCGGCCCGGTACTGGTCCACAGATCAGGGATTGGGGATCCCTGGATTAGAAGACTTCCAAGATTCTTTCCAACTCTGTTATTCTATTCTATTATGTTCTGTTCTATTCTATATCTTCCTCCTTCTATTTTCCACACAACAACTCTGTGAGATGGGTTGGGCTGAGTGAGTGTGACTGGCCAAAAGTCACCCAGTTTGCTTTCATGGCTAAAGCGGGACATGAACTCATAGTCTTCTGCTTTCTAGCCTGGTGCCTTAACCACTTTATTTACACACTTTCCCTTTTGGTCAGCTCAAAAATTATAAATTTAATGTAGTCTATCACAATGATATAAAAGCTTAATTCCTGCTTAGTTTATATACTGAGAAGATAAATAAAACCAAGTCACTTGTTTGGTCAGTTTTTATAGTCAATTTCCAGTCCAGTTATCGCATACGGCAAGTGTAATGGATATTAATCTGAAATATTATTCTTTTAGAACTACTGAGCTGGATTCCTCCAACTATTGGTTAATTTTTTCTTTTACTGATTACAGTCAAATCATGTTCTTGAACAATCTAAGATTGAATTGTCTGCTTTAGCTTCTTAAATAACGTATGCAAGTTTCTTTTAATTAGGATCAGTTAAACCCAACATTTGATCAATAATTTAGAATAAGTACAGTGCTGTATTAACAGATTTTTCAGCATATCCTAGAAGCCTAGTAAATCCAATTGCTAGACATGACCTGGGGCAGGCAGGTTTCTCTGTTAAATCAGAATTCACAACAACTGACCTGTTTCCTAATACTTTTATCCAGTAAAAAAACCCAAGATGGCAGTTAACATAGAAGTAAACGTGACTCTTCTCACCCCCAGTTAAATAACAAGGAAAAGGTTTGCTTGAGAAAATGTATTTGAATCTTCCCAGAAGCAGTAGTTAGCTATGAGGAAAAATGTAAACACACTGTAAGACCTGGGCAGGAATCCAAGCCTCACAGATGTAGTTAAGTAATTTAGAGCAGATCAGAACTTTGATTTTATATTGTACTCTACTTTTATTAGACCTTGCTTTATGGCTCATTTGAGGGGTTTTTTATTGGTATGGATTTCTAATAAGTATTATTTTACAGACATTTTTGGTGCCAGTTTATGTCGTAGACAATTGTAATCTTGTGATGTGCCTCAGAAAAACTTAGGATTCTTCAGAATTACCAAATACTGACTTATGATGGCCTGGTACTTTTTCAAATAATAGAAATAGACATTTTCCATCTTTGACCTTGCTCCTAGAAGTCTACAGGAAGGCAGGAAGGAAAAAACAAGTTGAAATGAATAATTAAAAATTCTTCAAGCAGAGATTTTGAAGAGGTCTTGTATTACGCAAACCTTGCAAAAGTATAATAGATAATATGGTGGACTTACTTCTTGAGGTTGTATTTCAGATTGAACATGCTGCCTTTGAGATTCTGGAAAGAAAAAAAAGCAACTTTAATTAAGTACTTGCACAAGCAAGAACTGTAATTGTGTGAAGTTAATTAACACAATATATTATAGTTTGTTAACAATAATTTGATGAAGACACATTTGGCTCAGTTCACACAATGTATTAAACTAAAATCAATACATTACAGATTAGGACAAGGTATGAACCCAGACTCAAACTTTGGACTGAATGGCTTCAACCAGGATTCTGTTTCCTACTCCAAGTTAGTCACATGCAATATTTCATTTATCTCAGTACAAAGCACACGCATTGTTAACATTGTAGATATAGGTTTGGGGCAACCTTGGTCAAAATGCATGTTTCAGTAAACTTCTAATAGAGCAAAAGTTGACAAAACAAGTTCTGCAGAGTTGAACATACAGTGTTTCCCCAAAAATAAGACCTGGTCTTATGTTTTTTTTTGCCTCCAAATGAGGCACTAGGTCTTATTTTCAGAGGATGTCTTATTTTTCCACATACATAAACCTCATGGCGGCAGCCCATATGTCAGTCGTCCCACTTGTTCTGGGCATCTTTCGCCCACTCGCAGCAGGATGGTGCCGCTGCCATGAGGCTTGGCAGGGGAGGGGGGATCTGCCCCACGTACCCTGCTTACCATGCCACAGGATCCCGTAGCCAGACCTCCCACGCCGCCTTACTTGTACTGCTGTCACTTTCGACCACTCACGGCAGGATGCCCTGTCACGCGTCGTGTGTACCAATGCTGCTGCCATGAAGCTTGGCAGATTCCCCCCAATCAGCACCACATGCCACCTGCTTTTCAACTCCGTCGCATTTGTCCACCACCGCAGAGCTGGAGAGCTTGCCGCATCACTGCCCAGATGCTCTCGCTTCCCCCAAGCATTTCTTCGCTAAGCTGATTTCCAGCTCCGTCAAGTTTCTCCATCGCGTTTCTCTGCCGCTGCATGCAGGGAAACAAAAGAAGTTTGTGGGACTAAAAAAAAAAAAGTTCAATCAGACCTTCCAACGTCGTAAGATCTTTTTTTTTTTTTTGCAAGAAGTCGGAAGGTCTGATTGAACTTTTTTTTTCAGTCCCAAACTTCTTTTGTTACCCTGCATGCAGTGGCGGAGAAACGCAGTGGAGAAAGACGACGGAGCTGGAAAGCAGGTGGCAAGGCAAAGTCCCCAAGGGCACCAGGTACTGAAATGGGCCCATCTCTCTCCAGCAGCTGCCCAGGCCCGCCGAAGGGAAGGCTGGCATCTACTGAAACATAGCGGCATTCCGGCTCTGGTGAGGAAGGGGCAGCCAAGCATGGACGCTGCAGGCAGGATGCCCACTTACTTCAGCACCCTCCCCGACTCCACCTGCCGCTTCGGTGGCTTTGTGGGCAGAGCTGTGAAGGGGGGTTAGTGGCCAAAAGAGCCAGCAGCCTGACTTGGAAGGAGAGTGAAAGGAAAGAGGCAGACAGGTCAACGGGGTATAATCTAGGGCAAGGGTAGGTAACCTTGGCTCTTTTATGACTCGTGGATTTCAACTCCCAGAATTCCTGAGCCAGCCATGGCTGGCTCAGGAATTCTGGGAATTGAAGTCCACGAGTCATAAAAGAACCAAGGTTGCCTACCCGATCTAGGGCTTATTTAGGGGGTAGGGCTTATATTAGGCCCACCCCAAAAATCAAGTTAGGGCTTATTTTCAGGGTAGGTCTTATTTCAGGGAAGCACGGTAGGCTTATTGTTTTTGTGCAAATTCCTACCAACGTTTTATGACTGCTATGTTCCTCACAAATCCAAAAATAAATGATCACAGGTAAACAATGCAATCATTATTAAATTCTGACCATATTCTATCCGTAGAAATTGACAACAATTTCCACAACTTTTCCTCCTTCAATTTCATCCTAACATATAACTTGTAAGTGGCCTAAAGTTATTCTGTGCGCTTTTGTTGCTTAAAACACTTAAACGTGTGTTTTCCCATGCCATAACAACAGACCACACATCTGTGAAGCTTATATCCCTATCTTACAATTCATCTTTATTGAATGAAAACGTTATTACGCAGACAGGGGATAGAGGATCTTTTTCAGATTAATTAAATTACCGTCAAAACCAGTCAGCAATGAAAAGATGTGCTAATCCAATTTAAGTAGGAGAGATACCTTAAGAACTTTTTTATTTAAACAATTTAGTAATGGTTTGCTGTATCTTCTATTTTGGACGCATATGGGAAACCAAGTACTAATTCTAGTTTTTAAAAAAGTTGTTTATTTATTTAAAAAAAATCCCTTTATTATGGTCACTGAAGAAAAAAAATATAATTATGTAATAGAATTTATACATTAATGTATTAATTGGAATACATTAAAATCCAATTAGGAAGAAAAATAAATAGAATTATGAAATACAAATATTAGAGTGCTTAAAAAGGATATATATATATATATATATATATATATATATATATATAGAATGGTTACAATAGTATTAGATTTTTATTTGATGAATTGTTTTAACTCAATAGACATAATCCAGCAAGCATTAGAGTACGTTAGATATGGTATACTGGAAACAGGTCTTGACTCATTCTCTAAAGTTTTACATTTTCGATCAACATACTGTGTAATTTCTAAATATATATTTTCTCCTTTATATTATAAAGAAAGCCTTATTTCTCCTTTTTTAATTTGGTTCTAGAAACTAGTCTGTGCTATTAAAAATTCTATTAAAACTGTTGCAGTGAATCCTACCATAAACAGATGGGCTTTTCAAAGAACAAGATCCTAATTTCCTTACTCCAAGACTCCTGCATTGTTAATTAATTACTTATAGTTATTAATTATGTACCTAATTGGAAAAGTAAATCAAACTGCATGATCAACAGGCCGAGCAGTTTTAGTCCCAAATACTTTATAGCAGTAGCAAAAGTAGCAGTGACTCATCTGTCACAAATTTGTTTCAAGAAGCGAGCTCTCAGTTGAAAAGTAAATAAAATCATGCTATTATCATTATGGTTTGTGGCACAGTTGCCAGATGTTTAGACTTATTATTATCCACTAATTGAGTCCTGCCCAAAGAGCAGATATCCTAGGGATAAACAGGCAAATGTTTGATGGTTTTAAAGGTATTATTGCAGGATGTATTGTTGTTATTATTAATTAGGGGCCACATGACACACTTAATAGCTTACCTTACAAAATAAAAACGGAAAGAAATTATGAAAAAATCCTGATCATTCCTGCTGCATAGTATTCGTGGGACTTTCTATCAATCTAGAAAAATTAAGCTCTGCATGGCTGAAAAGTACTGATAAACCAGAAGATATTTGCTAATAATAATGGGAAGAAAAATAACGTTTGAAAATTAACCTAAACTAATTAACAACCTCTGGGATATTTGCAATCCTAGGTGCCTAAAATTTATCACATACATTTCTAGCTTTACAAGGGCTTTTGAAGATTTAAAAATCCTCAAAGCACCAATCTATGCCAAAAAGTTAGGTACATACCACACTGGCCTAGTTTGGATGGTTGTAAGTTATTTCAAGAAATATGTTAGCACTTTTACCTGGAAATGTAGCCTATCTGCCTGCAAATCAGAAACCTTTATTAGCTAAGAAACTAAGTTACCAGCCTCAAAACAATTAAACCAATTTCAACTTGAAATTTAGTACAATTCAAACTAAATCAGGGGTGTCAAACTCAATTTCATTGAGGGCTGCATCAGCATTGCGGTTGCCCTCAAGGGGCCGGGTGGTGTGGCCAGGGTGGGTGCGGCCTGCTGGGTGGGCGTGGATGGAGTGGGTGTGGCCTACTGGGTGGGTGTGGTCAGCTCTACATTGTTCGCGTCAAGGGTGCCTGTGGGGGCCTGGGCAGGAGTGGGACAGATATGAGGGTTTCTGGCAGAAGGGGTTGGGACCAGGGCAAGTGCCAAGGCATGGTCCACTGGAGGAGCCTCACTATTCCTCTCAGGCCATGCAGGGGGGGCTGGATGGTGGTGCGGGCTGCCCAGAGCCCTGGGCAGCAGAGGTCAAATGCCCAGCCTGGCCCTTGAGCACCCGCGGCACCAAACCCAGCCCCACTTCCTCAAGGCTGCTGCTCAAGGTTCTCCTGGTTCCTCGCTGTTTCCAGACAGCCTTGTGGAGCTAAGACTGAATGCATTTCAGCATAGATGGCCACCATAAAATTGTACATTGGCTTCTGGCTGGCCTGGGCCAAGGCAGAGGGGGCCGTTCCCTCACTGTTTCCAGGATGGCTTCGCAGGCCACATGAAACCACTTCGTGGACTGCATCCAGCCCCCAGGCCTTGTGTTTGACATGTCTGAACTAAATGAATATTGTATGGTTAAAGCTCTTTAATTTGAATTGCAAATATATTATGTGCAAAGGATAGACTCCAACCTATCTCTCTGTTTCTATTAACAAAGACATACTCCTGCAGGTGTCCCTCATGTGAATTTTTACAAAAGGTTATAGGCTAGAAATAAGTTATTGGCTTTTCAGTTGTGTCTCCTTTGAGTCAAATGGGTCTCATGATGACTTCACAAATACTACGTGTCTTGGGAATTTCTGTCCAGACAAGATTAATCATGTAATTTAAGATTTAAATGTATACATTACCAATTTCATTGACAGACTCTGGTTTTGATAACTGTCTGTTTTTTTCAGGCTTTTCCTCTTTCAATTCCTCTTTCTCTGGTTTGTTGCAAGGGTCAGGAATGTTTTCAAAATATCCAGAATCTATCAATTTTGATAACAAATCCTTCAGATGCTTATCTAAAAGGAAAGGTATTCAATATTGAGTGATATTCCTAAAGAATTTTGAAACTGTGACTAGCAGAAGCCACTCATTTTAAAAAATTAATACTTTATGTTAGTGACAAGTATTTTGCAGTTACCTAAAGCAGGATTTCCCTGGTAGCAGTATACCCATTACTGGAAACTCTCACATCCTATACAGACAATGCTAAGCCAGGATTTCAAATCATGCTTTGCTGAATAAGCCATAATGACCTAGTTTCCAATAATGGGTAGATTGCCACATGCGGAGCAAAAAGCAAATAAATCATATTATAGCTTGACAAAATGTGGAATTCAGTGTTAAGCCAAATGAGAACACAAATTAATGAAGACCCTTATATATCCCATGACCATGTTCTCAAGAAAATATACCTTAACACAAGGGTATCAAGCTCAAATTGCTTCACAAATTAATTGTCCTATCTACCACACACAAAGTATAGATGTTAAAACTGATATAAACCACAGGTACTACTAATGATACTATACTACTGAATCCCACAATTCTAATGCAGTCCTCTCTTTTATGTCTGATTAAAAACCTTGCCCTAGTGATCAACATTTTTAAGTCTGGAAACATTCGATTTCAGAGCAACGGAAAGACCAAGCAGTGCAGAAATGCCTTAAGGGCTGGAATAATAGTTGTTATCTCAGTTTTGCCTTTTACCTTAAATCAGATATGTCAAACTCGTGACATCGCGCAACATATTGGGACTGTTTTGCCATTGCCGGCAATGTGGTGGGTGCGGCTTCCGTAAATAGTTACAGCTCTAAAACCAGATCCCATTATAACAACACAGCCTCTTTTTATTAATAGCTACTCACAGGTTGTCCCAACTATTACTTTTTCACTGCCTTCTAGCAGATCCCAGAAACAAAGTGATGATTGCTCCATTTGGTCTTCAATGCTTAAAACAAAAAGAAAGAAACAAAAGTTTTCAAAAAATTAGTTCACAAGTAAGTTTTAACTATTAGGTTGGCTTGGTATTTATTGCAAATTATGTTAGCTGGCTTTTTCTTAGTAAAGTTCGAACAAAGGAGGCAATTGAAAAAAATTCCATATACTTCACACCAGCTAAATACACCAGTCCAATTTCCTGATTTTAGTAAGTTTGCTGCCACCTCAGTAAGAACGGATACTAAACCAAGGCTCCATTTTTTCAGAATTCTTAGAAATAATACATCTTTGCCTGAAATTCCGGTTTTGTATTTGATGGCAATATGATAAAAAAAATCATTTATATATTCCAATCTAAGAATTTCATTGAGCCTAAAATTCTACATTTTAAGGAATATCTTCAAAATACATTTTAGTAGGAAAATCATACTCATATTTCTGTAAAACTAGGCACATCAATCTGAATTTTTTGATTATGAATGTGATTGAAAAATGTTATATCACATAGTTCTAGACCAGACATGTCAAACACAAGGCCCGGGGGCCGGATGCGGCCCGTGAAGTGGTTTCATGTGGCCCGCGAAGCCATCCTGGAAACAGTGAGGGAACGGCCCCTGCTGTCTTGGCCCTGGCCCAGGCCGGCCCGAAGCCAATGTACAATTTTGTGGTGGCCATCTTGGGACTTGCCCCGGTGAACCATGACTTGGCACTTGCCCCGGTCCCACCCCCTTTCTGCAAGAGACCCTCAGATCTGTCCCACTCCTGTCCAGGCCCCCACAGGCACCCTTGACGTGAATGATGTAGAACTGGCCACGCCTACCCAGTAGGCCACACCCACTCCATCCACACCCACCCAATAGGCTGCACCCACCCTGGCCACACCCACCCGGCCCCCCAAGGGCAACCTCAATGCTGATGCGGCCCTCAGTGAAATTGAGTTTGACACCCCTGTTCTAGACTGAATAGGTTAAAACAGCATCTAAGAGTAACAAACTGGTCATAATAGACCACATATTATTAAAATAAATTTGTTTAATTTGGTACTGTATGAAATTTCCTTGTCAAGGCAACTGAGTGCGTATGGGCACCCTGTGTAGTCTTAAGGTATGTATTATACCAGAATTATGCAGGTTGTCCTCATACAGGTTTGAAAGGTTAAGTTAATCAAAACCCACTGTCCACTAAAATCTACTTGTTGCTCAAGGTGATGCTGTTATACTCCAAGCATGGCAAGCTAAGAGCAAATAACCACTTTTTTTGCTTGATGCAGTTATGTCACACAGAAGGAGAAGTGAGGCAAAAAATACACAAAGGAAACATTTCATTTCTCTTTGACAAGGAAAAAAACTATGTCATGGACTACATCCTGAAGGGGTTCCTCAAAACTGAATCCAGAAACAAGACAAACCACCAATAGTTTAAAACCGAATTTTCAATATGCTATTGCAAGTTTTATTTGATTTAAAGGTAAAGTAAGAAAAGTTACCTAACAGTTTCATTTCTTCCTGAACATGTCAATTTTGCAAACTTAATGAGGTAGTCTAATTCTTTAGAAGGCAAGTATATTGCACCATTCAAGCCACTTCTGAAGTCTTCCTGCACATGCTCTTGAGTGAAATTCTGCAGCACATACTGGACCTGCAGTATTGTGCGGAGCTTTTTCTTCTCTGCTTCAAGCTTCATTAAGGTTTCCCTTCGTTGCGCTTTCCGCTGTACTTTTAATAGCTGTATCAATGTGAGGAAGAGATTGGCAGTGGGTTCACAAATGGTCTAAACAATGGACAGACTGCAGCTCAGAAAAATACCTTCAGTCAATGATTATTTTAATCACATTTATGAGGAACTTCCCAAGTTCCACATTGCAAGCTTTTACAAACACCAATGCCTAAAATGCAAGAAATTTAATTATCAGAATAATATCCTATATCAAAGCAATATGGGCCATATCATGTACGTTTCTTTTGACTGTTTGTAGCTAAAGGTAGTCCTTGACGTACGGCCACAATTGAACCCCAAATTTCTGTTAAGTGAGACATTTGTTAAGTGAGTTTTACCCCATTTTACAGTTGTCATTGTTGTAAAGTGAATCACTACAGTTGATAAGTTAGTAACACACTTGTTAAATGAATCTGGCTTCCCCGTTGACTTTGCTTGTCAGGAGATCGCAAAAGGTAATCATATGACCTTGGGACACAATAATGGTCATAAATATGAACCAGTTGCCAAGCATCTGAATTTTGATCACATGATCATGGGGATGCTGCAAAGGTTGCAACTGTGAAAAATGGTCATAAGTCACATTTTTCAATGCCACTGTAACTTTGAATGGTCACTAAATGAACCATTGTAAGTTGAGGGGATGGACATGTCATTTTGTAGGATGTATAGTACTGACCAGTCTTCGTCGAAGAGACGGTACCTTTTCCGTATTAAGTTCAGATACCTATAGAATCGTTACCCTTTTTTATATAAATTAAGGAGTGTGTAAAAGATTACTTAGTTGAATAAAGATGTGTTAATATACCAGAGAGATGAGTGAAGAACTGAATCAGGTCTTAATGTCTTCTGAAGTTCTTTAGCAAACTCCAAGTTATGTATGACTTCTTCATATTTTTCAACAGCTTCCTGCAATTAGTCATAATTTTTATTCATTTAAAAATGCATCTAGGTTTACTGAGATGAGTCTTGAGGCACCTCAAATAAATGTGTATGTTTTGGGTGGATTAAAACACTAACCTGATTTTACTATGCAAAGTGCAGATATTAAAACAAAATGTTTTCTGCCCCAGACTTACACTCAAAGTGAAACACGTGAAAAATCAACCAATATTAAGATATTTGGTCAGGATTTATTTGCTTTTACAGCATTCTGGCTAATTTTAAACAAGCATTCTATTTTTCATACTGATCAGAATAATCAATAATACTGATCTTCACATTTTGATTTGGACAAGATTTATATTTTAAAACATGATTTTTTTTGATCAATAAAGTTTTCACATCATGTTAAAGTGTTGAAAGCCCCCTCCCCAGCAGTTATGACATTTTTAACTTGAAAGATGACTTTGGCTTACTTTTATAAAAATAAACTTAAATAAGCAATAATCATTAAGTCTTAATGAGGTTGAACCAACATTTTAAGAATTATTGACATTTGTGACTATTTAAATAAAAGAGATTGTTGAGAGATACTCACATGAACATAGATTTGTTGTAAACACAGCATTAAGAGTATACACCACATATAAAATTTATAAATAACTTTATAATAAAATTTTGTTAAGTGAAACAAAGTATTAAAAATTAACTGCCATCTTTTCAATGGACTATAATGCAGTTTAAAACATTATTATTATTATTATTATTATTATTATTATTATTATTATTATTATTATTATTATTATTATTTCTATTTGTAGAGTGGTAGATATTTCGAAGGGGTCCCTTAAATGCATTAGAATATTACAATAATTGATTTCCTCCATTTTTTTATATTGAACACATGATTATTACAGCAGCAATTCTAATTTATTTCTTTATTCCTCCTTATGCATTATAACTTTTCTGTGTTTTTATTTACCAATTTCTACATTGCCTCATAGTGGCTTAAAATAGAAGATATTTAAATATTTAACTTAATAATAGTAATTTCCACAACAGGAACCTGGAATAATGCAAATTGGTTTGCATGTCTAAATTGGATCATTGCTATTAAAATATGCTTTTGTAATTTTAGCAATAAGCAAATACAATCCCAAGAAATACTAACCCAAACTTTCTAATTCATCTTTATACCTCAGTTCTAGATCAGCCACAACTCTTCATTATGCCACAGTACATGAAACAAAACTTTAAATTATTCAATCTCTTTGTTTTTGCCAATATCACTATTATGAATTCAAAATAGACTTTGCATGGCCTAGTTGGCATCAAGTTCCAACTATTTAAACAGAACCCTTGTAAAAGAAGAATTAAACTCTAAAGCATGTTGTCCAATATTTTGGCTAGTCTATGCCACATTGAGTGAAGAAGATTGTTTTGGATCACATATAAAATGTATAACATAATTAATATAAATAACATTTCCTTTTTTATATTATTATCTTGTGGGGCTGCATTACTAGCTGTCCAGGACCACATGCAAGTAGGATACCTCTGCATGTAAACAATTAAGAAAATATCAACTATATAATATTTTTAAGACAATATACTATAAAATATCACAGTGTTTTATTTGCACGAATTACATGAGCAAGTATGATCTATCATATCATTCCTTCTAAAATCATTTAAAGTACTTCAAATGCCACTCAGAAAACCTTTAGCACAAGTTTCCTCTTACCAAAACATTAATTCTGTCCCACACGGAATTCTCCAAATGTCATCACATTTGATTACTTTTTGCTGTTCTATCTGAGGAACTTTAGGAGCCGTGGTCCCAATACAACTGAAGGCTCCCAGATTGTAATAGTCTGCATTATGGTACTATTCAAAAGATCATGGCAATTGATTTTGCTAATGCATACACATTAACCAAATTTGTTCAAGTATCTTAAATTTTGAAATCTCTTGAAACACCCAGAAACATATTATTTGGTTACCGTATATTGCAAGGTACTCAGACGTTATGGTTTGCACAAACATGTTAAGTTTAATGTTGTTGGCTAGTTTGTTGTTTAGCATATTGTTTGAACCCAGTACCACTACTTTATCCCTTTATCAAGTAGAATACAACAAGCCAAGGTTAAGTAAATTATAGGTTATCAATGGGGTGGGGAACTTGAATCATGCAGACTTTCACTGAAAGGAGCATATTTCATTTCTTGGAAGCCTTTCATTCCCATTAGTGTCAAACTTGATTTCATTTTATCAAAACCTATATTTTCTGCTAAGTCTTTAAAAAAATTCTTCAAGAATCTTCCTATATACACTCAGTGTCTAAAGTTAAGCAGGAATTTAGTCTAGCTAGCTAGATATATGCACATGTGGCATTCCCACCAAGTGCCATTTAACTGATCAAGAATGGGTATAAAAATGTTTATAAAACTGTAAAAATCAGAGATAAAAACAGAAATCTTACCAACTGATCTTGATTAAGGACTTCCCCCCTTTTCAGGCGATCCCTATAGTCTTCTAACTTGAACTGCAAACATAAGTCAAACAAGTGAAGTATGAACAAGTTTTTTCTTCAGACACAGGCCAAACTTGAACCACACAATCATTAATTGCAACCTTCATTGCTATGTATCAATATAAAATCTTAAGAAAATATACCAGATATTTAAGTACACTGCATTAGGCATTAATGAAACAATAAATCAAAAAATACCCTTTATAATTCATTGCTGTAGTCCAAGCTCTATAAAGGTGATTGCAAACAGAGCTAATATGACCTAGCATTTCTCTAAACAGTGTTTTAGGGCTGGTTCATGAATAAAAATGTTAGAACATCAAAAGCACCGTGATTAGAGATAATATATATTTATAATTAAAAACTATAACCTTTTCACATATTTAAACTCAAATCTCTTGCAGCTGTATTGTAAAGCCATCTTTCAACAGAAAGAAAGGCACTAATGAAGCATGAAGTTATTTCCAGTCAAGGCAGGTTTCATTATACTGACAGCACAAAAATTACACAGTAATTCAATGTAACAACTTATACTTTTTATTACAAGGGACAGTTGTGTAATAAAGGACACAGTAAATAAATATGTATGCCATATCTACTTAAAAGCCATTCCTCTGTAGCCACAAAGCTATCCTAAAATTAAATGTTAAGCCCATTATAAAATTTCTTTTAAAAGCTGCAATTATCTAAAGAAAAGTAACTACCCATACACTTGTTTGGGGCCAATAGAAAGGGCAAATTATTTTTTTTATAAGCAGTAAATATAGATTACTTCCCCTGAGCACTTTGCTTTACAAATCTATAAAAAGTGATAGTCATAAGCTGCCTTTGCCTTATGCAATTATGGTCTTACCGCATTATTTCTTGCACTCTGTTAGTTTAGAAAATATACCTACCTTCTTTTTCTCAATATTCCTGATTTTGTGTTTCAAGCAGATAAGTCCATTATCAATGTAAGTCTCGTATGCCTGAGAAGCTGTAGCTGCAGAATTCAAAGCTGCCTGCAGGGGGCTCATGGGAGGCTGGTTATCCCCTCGAGGACCTTGGGTCACCTGCTGCTTATCTGGCTTCATGCTCTTCTCTTCCCCTTCCTCAGAGTGGCATGAAGGTGAAGGGCGGCGAAGTGGAGACTGTGAAAGCTGCACCATTGAAACGGCTAGGGCTGCAAAAGAAACCGGTACTGATTAGCTGCTCCCTCCTCACAACCTCTTTAAAGCAGCTGCCTAAATATGTGAGCGCAATACTCCCTCATCTAGACGACATATATGACGTTACGATTTCTACAAAGGTCTTGGTGTCTTGAAAGTTGCGTGTCGGATAAAAGAGGAAATTTACACCTTACGTCCGTAGTAAATCTTACGAGTTCCTATGGTTGATGTCATAAAGTTACAATTCCTTAACGTCTGAAATATCGAAGAATTAGTCTCAGGATCTTCTTGGTGCATTCTTCCCTTTTAAATTTCTCCTGACTTGCTGTTATTGCCCTAGTAGAGCGCTAACAGCCATATCCACAATTCCCACCAAGCCCAAAACACAAGATTTGTTTCATATACAATTCCAAATGCTTCTTTCTTTAAAACTCCAAAGAGGTATTTAAGACGCCTGTAATGTAGGCTTCTTGTCACATGCGCTAAAAAACCAGGATCTGGAATGAAATGTTAGCAGCAACCTATAGAGAGACAGAGAGGGGAGAGAAAGCAGCAAAATCTCTGCCCTTCCTTTCTTCTGATGACCAGGGAGGCGTAGAATAATTACTATTGGCTATGCTAATTACTAATGATGACAGTTAACACATAAGGTAGAACAAGGCTACACTGCACCAGCCTCCCTTGAAATAAAATACAAACTTCCAAAGGGATAGGAGCCCTCCCATGCAGAAGAAACAGATCTTGGAGTACCTTTGTAGGCATGTGTGTGCATGCTTCTGGTATATGTGTACATACACACATCCACACACAGTGTGTAAGTGTGCGTGCTTTTGAAGATTATACATTTTACAAATGTTATAGCAACATCCAGTGGAACGATGAGAGGAGGAATAAAAGGTAAAGAAATCAGTATTTTTTCCTCTTTCCAAGGAGAAACAAGCACTCCCTTACTCTAAGGTAATTAAAGGACTGCAACCCCACAACCCCATCCAAAGCTTACTAGGGACTCTCAAAGGTAAGTTCTCCAAAGCAGCAGCAGCAGTCCAATTCCCAGGAAAAAAAAAAGGGGGGGAGACACAATTCGCAGCCCACCTCCCCTGTTTTTGAAAGCAGGTAAGGGCAAAAGAGAAGCCAGCAAAAGTTCCATCTCTGTCAGGGTCAGAAAAGAAGGGTCTCCCCCTCAGTGCCCGCAGCCAGCTTGGCGGGGACTAGTGACGAGGCAGCGCTGGGTCATCCTCCGCTCTAAGCCGTCCATGTTGGCGGACCGGAGCTCCCGAGACATCCTTCGTAGAATTGCGACCGTGACAGGGCTTGTCTCGCTTTCCCTCAACATCCTTCGGTCAAGGCTCCGCGCTCCATCGGCACCACATCCAGAGCGGTCCCTCATACCCGGCGTCCCGTCCCATCCCATCCCGCCCCGCCCCCTCCCCATCAACTCACCTCAGCAGCCAAAGCAGCTCAAGCCCGCCCGCCCGTCCGCATCCCCGCTTATAAACCCTACGCCCCCGGAGCTACGAAAGGGGCGGGGCCTCCGCGGCAGGTCAGCCGACGACTGTCCAATCACCACCCGGCTTCGCCCTCCCTGTTCCACCCCGGCAACCGCATGGCCTGCTTCTCCGGCGTTCGGGGCTTCGCCACGTGACTGGCCGGACCGTTAACCGGGGGGGGGGGAGAGGGAGGAGCGCAGGAATACCGGCTTCTAATCGCGCTGATGGAAATTCGGCGCTGCGGTTCTTAATGGGTCCGATGCGGTTTTAATCGAAGAAAGGAAGAGGTTGCAAAGCGAGACAGACCCGCTCCCGCCAAGTTAGGTTAGGGAAACCATCGTTGGCTGGGTCGGCGCAACCCAGCGAACAGCGGTTTGCAAAAACAGCGCGGCGTGCAGAAGCGATGAGCCAGCAGACCGTAGTTTAGCTTCTGCTCGTCCGGATGTGTTAACGCGTGGAAGCCGGCAACGTCATTCGTCTCGCGTCTCATGAGAGGAAAGGAAGCCGGCCACATTCAGGGGTGCGCCCAAAAAAAAAAAAAAAAAAAAGGCAGTTTTGGGCGAACTGAATTGGGCTTGCACTATGAATAAGCTTGGCCCTCATTTGTATCTAAGTGAGAGTTCAAAAAAACCCAAACCATTCCTTTATAGCATTATATATTATATTATATATATATTATATATATGTATTGTACAATTCTTGCTTAATTTTCCCCCCCACATAAGGAACCTTGAGGGGCAATTTTTTTTTCTTCAGAGAACCAGCTCTAAAAGAATTGTAACATGTTTTTGCCAAGGAACAAGCTGGCAAATATGCTCTTATATTCAGATTCGTACAAACAGAAAAGCAATGTAAATAGTCACTAGAAAGAATATTTGAAAATACAAGGATTAAGTCTTTAATTTAGATGCGTCTCGTGCATTCTCCCCAAATACTATTTTCCAGGAGTCATGAATCCTCTTCTTATATTTTATAATTGCAATTTAATTAAAATTAATTTTTTATTTTTACATTTTTAAGGATTACTAGTTCACAATTTCAGAGGTAGAGTTTCTACCGATATTAGAGTAATGTAACCAGAAATTAAAAAGCATTAAAATGTGACAATTGTCTCATTTCAATGTTTTTATGGAATTTAATTTATTTTTTAATTCCTATCCCAGTTAAACATTCCAAATTGTTGTAGAAAGACTATATTCTAATTCCCCTTGAAAAAGCCTGTGGTACTTCAGTTTGTACATAACAGCCCATCTCTAGAAACAAATACTTACCCAAGAGCCATGAAGTAATGTTCCAGATAAGAGATGCCAAGTTTTGAGCAAAATATAAAAGTAGAAAGACACGTAGAATTGCTTCTAGCTAGCTTCTACCTACCTGCCCAGCCTACATGGTTTTTACTTCTTTGGGAGCAAGGAGGAAAAGAATGGAGAAACCAGCTGAGAGGAGGGAGTTAATAAAAGATTAGGGGAGGAAGGGAGGGGTTTTCAGGATAAGGTCTCTACTGAAAAGAAGCCCATTTCCTTGTGGTTGCTAATCTGCATCTACTTATTCCCAGAAAACCTAAGATTTTTCAGACACTGAAGCTGATTAGACTTTGCTGAATATTTGTGATAACCTGAAATCTTGGCTGGCTAATTATTGCTTTTTGATTGTAAATCTTTGCAAGGAATACTTAACAATACTTACAAAGTCTAGGTTCTATCTGGTTCAGTAAAATGCAGTGGTTTGTAGTTTCGTTTAGCGTAATATGTAATCTCTCTCTCCCACCAAACAGTTGAAAGAATTGATAGTGGTATTGAACGTACTAATTTTAATTTTTAATACAGTAAATATTGATAAACATCCAAATAAACAAATCTCATTTGGTGTCCATAATTTATAATAGTGGGAAAGGGTCCTGAGAGAAAAATGTTTTAAGAAAAACAATGCTAAACTTTTTAAAATTAAAACTCCTATTTATCTTGTTTTTAAACAGCTAATCTTTCTATAATCTCAACTCAGGAGTTGTTGGGGTTTTGTTTTTTGTTTTTGGACAACATAGCATGGAAAGATTGTTCTCAAATGAGTATTTGAAATTCCCTTAGTTATATTCCCCTTTTTGAATTGATGCTGGAGTCTAGTGGAAAATCTGTTTGCATTTGAAGAGTTATCAGCCTGAGGGTCCCAAGGAACTGCAGAGATTTTGCAATGGCTCCCTTACTGTGGTTAATACCATATTCTCTTGCTTTGTGTGCCCTTTTTATACTTACGTTAAATTGTTTGTTTTTATGTATTTATTCCTTTTTAATTAATTGTGGTACGCCACCCAGAGTCAATTTAATGTGAGAAGTGTGACTATACAAATATAATAAATAAAAATAAAGATACAAAAAATGCAGCATTCAACACTGTACTTATATATTGGTAGTGAGTCTCATTAGAATCTGAATCATATTAAAGATGGTTCTGATTAGCTGTTTTGATGACTATTGGATAACTTACAACACAGTAAAGAACAAGCAATGGTTTATTTAGGTAACTCAATTTGTAGGGCAGGGGTGTCAACTGCCGGCCCCTGGGCTGGTTGCATCATGCGGAGGCCGTGCCTCTGGCAATGCAAAAAAAGTTGCGATACTTCGCAACACATCACGTGATGTGGTGAGTTTGACACCCATGTTGTAGGGTTTTTTCCTTCCTATTTTAAATTAGATCCTTTATTTGTTATTTTGTTGTAAAGAAATATCCATTTTGATATTTGCTTCCTGAGTCCATAGAATATTTATCAGAATCATAAATGTTCTTGTTTACATTTCTAATTATTTGAAATGTATCAAAAGGAGACTACTTCCCTGTTTTGTTTTGTTTTTAATTGAGGCCTCCTTCCATTCATAGAACATCCTAAAGCAGTATATGTGAGACTGCAAATCTGCAATGATGTAACAACAATTACACTATTGGAGAAAAGACAGATCTATTCATTGAGAAAACAAATTAGTCCTTTAAAAATGAATAAATGAAGTTTGGAAGCATCTTTTTGAAAAGAATTATTTGCAATTATAACATGAATTATTTGCTATGCCTCTGCTGCAGTAAATAAAAGAGATTACAATTACAGTGTTAATTGTATGTTAATAGAATTAACTAATTTGTGCCCCACAAATTAAGAACCAAGGTAACCCTAATTAAATTAGTCAAGTTGTAGGGCTGCAGCCTTTCCTTCTTTGTTAAAGAACTAAGATTAATATATCTCTTTTAAATTTTGCATTGCGTGATAGTAAAACATAAAATAGGATAAAAAAATTATTTGTTTATTAATTCAACTATCCCAGTTTTCTGTACATGACATTTGAACCCAAACAGGTTGGATATTCATAACATACAGTACTATCCTAAATTGGCTAAACTGTGGTTAGGCCTGTTGTGTGAACACAAGCTACAGTGTAATCTCCTGTATAAGTGAACTTGTACCTTATGAGTTTCTTGGCCATTTGTTTTTAAGAATCTTTTAATTTAACGGATAATGTTGATACTTCA